TGTGTGTGTAGGGGGGGGGGGTACTGGGATTGAACCAGCTGCCTTCACACTGATCTACATCCCAGCCCTTATTTTTTATTTTTTGAGACAGGGTCTCACTAAATCACTAAGTTGCCCAGGCTGGGCTCAGCCTTGTGATCTTCTTGCCTCAGCCTCCAGAGTGTTGGGATAATAGGTATGACCACCAATCCAGTAGAATCAAACCTTTTATTCTTTTTTTGTTTTTGATTTTTGGTACGGGGATTGAACTCAGGACCTGGCGCTTGTGAGGCAGGCGTGGTGCCACTGAGCTAAATCTCTGGCCCAGAATCAAACCTTTTAAAAATAACATTTGCTGGACCAGGGATTTAGCTCAGTGGCGCTGCACCTTCTTCTTAGGTGCAAGGCCCTGAGTTTGATCCCCAGTACTGCTAAATAAATAAATAAATAAATAAATAAATAAATAACATTTGCTGTTTTTGTTTTTTGTAAGCTTCATGGTTAATAGATGTTTGGGGAGCTAAAGGCATCATTGGAGTAGAATAGGAAAGTTGGTGGTCAGAGAAAAGGTCCTACTTGACATCCTAACAGCTGATATGATCAGCGAAAGGGGCAAAAATCAGCTGAAGAGGATGAGGAGGTATGCGATAAAAAGATCTGGCACAGTGACACCCAGTGCCTGGTGCATAGTGGCTGCTCAGTAATGCTAGCTTCTGACTGGGGGAGGTGTAGAGTGGACTGACCATTGTAGAGGGTGGTACTTAATGAGACTAGATTATGTGATCCCGTGATCCAGCAGTTTCCCTGGGTATTTATCTGAAAAAATTCCCACATGGGTCCATCTAGGATTGTTCAGTACTTTGTTATTTTTGCTTGTGGAAAACAATTTTGTTGTTCATACCTTTTCCCCAAAGATGAATAAAATATGACAGATTTATACCACAGAGTACCATCAGGCAACTTGAAGTAATGAACTAAATGTGCGTATGGCAAAGTGATGGATCAGCATGATGGATCTTATATGAAATATGTAACAATAGCATTTATGTAAATTAAAAATACATGTAGATGAAACACATCTCATAGTTTGCAAGAGAATATTTTAACACATTAAATATATTGCAGTGTTTGCTTCCTATGGGGAGTGATGGTACTAAGTATAGAAGAGAATAAAGTAAAAATGCATCCATGCGAAACTTCCTTGCTTCCCTGAGGTGACTTTTGAGGCATCTGGTGGGTGAGAAGAGGATGTCTGCAGGCCAGTTCTCCCACATTTCCCATTGTTACTATCCTTAGGAGTAGAATTTCTGGTAACCAGTTATCACTGGAATATATATACTTTTGTTAATCTAACTAAAAGTGAATGTTTGGGATTCATGGTTCGGAATTCTTGTTGATTTATTTTTAACTTTTTACCTTTATTTCCGCTTCCTTCATTTTTCTTGTTTCTCTGTGTTTTGTTTAGTATGGAATATACCAGCCTCATCATTAATGCCTGATTTAGGTTCTACTTCTATAACTAGCATTGTTATCAGTTTTAGAAAATAATATTGATAGTCTACATGAGAAGCTTTTCACTATCCTTTCAGATGGTTTTTTTTAAATTAAAGCTTGGAATGCTAAACACTAGGAATAAAGCAGTCACTGCTTTGATTCATTACCCTTTATGAAATTTGTTATCTTGCTTTTCCTATAAGAAATTACTGTTTAAGGCAGATAAAAATACCCACTCCCACCTGGTATGGTAAATTCAACTGTCTGGGAGCATGAGGCAGGAGGATCACAGATTCGAGGCCATCCTGGGCAATATAGCGAGAACTTGTCTCAAAATAAAAAAAAAAGGATCCGGTTGTGGTGGTACATGGACAGTAATCCCAGCATTGTGGAAGCCTGAAGCAGGAGGATGGTGAGTTCAAGCTCAGTCTGGGGAATTTACCAAGTCCCTGTCTCAAAATAAAAAAGGGATAAAGCTAGAGTGTACCTCAGTGCCAAGGCCTTGGGTTCAGTCCCCAGTACTGGAGAAAAGTGAATAAATAAAATTAAAAATAAAATTTAAAAAAGGATTGGTGATGCAGCAAGTGGTAGAGCACTTGCCTAGTATGCATGAGGCCCTAGGTCTAATCCCACAAAAAGTAAAATTAAAATTTAAAAATACCGACACCCCCTCCCCAAACCTGAATCCCAGATTGTTCCTTGAGATAACAGTAGAATCTTGGGTAGAATGGAGTATAGGAAATAAATAGGTCTTACCTTTCAGCAGTTTTTGCTACTAAACAAAACTTTTTTCTAGGTCATGAACTTTTGGGTAGGCTGCGATTTGAGTTAGCCTCAATTAAGATTTTTGGTTGTTAATTTGTACCTCCCAGGCTCCAGATCAGCAACTGGAGAAAAGGAGCTGTGATGGAATTACAGTAACCTTGGCAACCATTGTAATGTAAATAGGCCTCTTGGGAAGGAAGTTGAGAGTGGGCACTTGTTAGGGCATTCCTTTATTACGTTTACACCTAGAGCAGACTAGCATTTTTCTGTTTAAAAATCCTTGTGTTGTTGCTCTTTGGTCACTTTTTGAGTCCTGTGTTATCCTAATCTTTTTTTAGTTTTTTGAGACACTAACACCATGTTCTAATATTTATATGAAATAGAAAAATACCTGACATCCTTCTCTTGCTTCTCCTCGATACACATTAAAGATCTTTTTTTTTTTTTTTTTAAACTTCGTCAACACAACTTTGTTTGCTTATTTTAGTACTGGGGATTGAACCCAGGGCCTTTACACTGAATTACATCGCAGCCTCTTTCCAATTTAATTGTATTTATTTAGTCTTTTTTTTTTTTTTGAGGCAGGGTCTTGCTATATAGCCCAGGCTGGACTTGAACTCTTGATCCTCCTACCTCAGCCTCTTGAATGCTGGGATTCCAACACTACCTTTTTCTCACTGCCTTCTGGCCCTGATGTTCCTGCTCTGCACCAAATCTCTAAGAGACAAAGGAAGCCACTGAGGTTTCTGGAGAAACAGTGCTGGGTAGTGTGCCGTGATGACCAAAATTTGGTTTATGGTGGAACCAGTAGTGCCAGTGCTACTCCTTAAGCAGCACGAGAGGGATGAATCTTTGGTCTCAAATCTTAATTCTTTTGTTTTAGTCTTTCAGCTTTAAGAAAAATTGTGTTTAAATTTTAGAGTTTTAATTTAGGTTCGGGGGTCATGGTGGCACACATCTGTAATCCCAGCACTCAGGAGGCTGAGCAGGGGAATTGAGAGTTCAAGCCCAGCTGGGGCAATTTAGCAAGTCTCTGAAATACTTCTGGGGATGTAGGTCAGTGTGAAGGCCCTGGGTTCAATCCCCAGTAACCCCTGTGCCCCTCATCAGGTTTTTTCTTTGTGGATGGTGATTGGATGACTAGAAGAGAATAATAAAAGTGAAACCAAAGTAATTACCAGATTGAGATTGAATTATTTTTTCTTTGGGTACTGGGAATTAAACTCAGGACCTTGTGCTTGCCAGGAAAGCGCAGCACCACCAAGCTACATCCCTGATCCTGAGACTGAATTGTTAATTTAAGCATTCTACTTGTTCACTATCTCCCAAATGAAGACCAGGGGTTTTAACAAAGGACAGTGAGAGAAAAGTTTAAGTTTCCTATTCAAGGTTAACCATTGTTAGGATGTTCCGTACTAGGTAAATAGCTTTCCTCAGTCTCAGTTTTTCTTTTGATAAATAAAGAGTGAAAACAATAGCTCTGTCTACTGTGGGGCAATATTTACAAAAGGAACTAAAATATAAGTAGTGATATGGTCAAGAAAATCATCTGATGTAAAACAGAAAGTCTAAATTTTAAGATAATACTTCTCAGGTATTCCACTTATCTTGCCCCAGTTAAAGCTTTTACATTTTTAACTTTGGTTTTAACTTTCCTTCCTCTTACCCTTTTGCTGAGTCGTCATCCAGTTCACAACACATACTCTTATATGCATACAGTTGTCTCTCCTGGTTTAATCACAAACAGAGGAGTTGATTTTATTTATTTATTTATTTATTTATTTATTTATCTTTTGGTACTGGGGATCTAACTTGGGACCTTGCACTTGTGAGGCAGGCGGCGGAGCCACTGAGCTAAATTGCTGGCCCTTTTTTTTGCTTGAGACAAGGTCTCACTATGTAGTTCGGGCTGGCCTTGAACTCATTATGTAGCCCAAACTGGCCTCTAACTTGAGGTGTTCCTCCTGTCTCAGCCTCCCAAGAGCTGGGATTACAGGCATGCACCACCATGTCCAACTATTAGCTTTTTAAGTTGATAGAGTTTACAGTTAACCAAACTCTTATTTCATCAACAGATGTTAAAATTGATTTGTTATTAGTCATAAAGTTTTTTTAGACAGATTCCATTTTATATTTTCAGCCCATTATTTGTTTGATTAGATGTTTATGATTTTTAAGAATTGTTTCATTGTATTATCTAATCTTTATAGATAGATTTATATCACTAGCAAAATTACCACTTATTTTTAGCATTGATAAACATCTACTGAAGTAAGCCTAATACAGAGCCTTGTAGTAGCCAATGTATACTTCCATTCAGATTGCTATTAAGCCACTGATTAATAAGGATGGTTATTCAACCAATTGTAAACCTATCACTTAACTAGAATAAGAAACTTTAATCTTGACTTCAACAATATATATTTGACCTACTTTATTTTCTTTCTCTAAACTTTCAGTCTAATAATTTTATCAAAAGTAAAATTAGAGTAGCATGATTTTTTTTTCTTGGTGAATCTCTTCTTTCTTCTGTTGTTCTCTATACCTTTCTTTGCCCACCATAGGCTAATGTAGAATTTTTCAGGGAATCCCTGTTACATTTTTAATCTACATTTAAAAATCTAATCTTTTTTTTCCTTTGAAATTTAGAAAACTAAAATTGAATTTTCTTGTTTCTAGTCTTCTAACTTTTCTTCCATTCTTTATGAGACAACTCAGAGATCTCAATGTCTTCGGCTGTAATTTATCTGGTTTCAGAGATTTGAATTCGCTATAAACTACTGGATTCTCCTACTATCTTTTTTCCTGTCTCAGGGTTTAGTTTCCTCTTAACTATGTGTGTACTGCTCTGACTAGTATGTAAAATACTCTTTTTTTGGTTTTTTTGGTATCGGGGATGGAACTCGGGCCCTTGGTCTTGCAAGGCAGGAGGCGGCACCACTGAGCTAAATCCCTGGCCAATATTCTTTTTTTTTTTTTTCTTAAATGCTTTTATTGGTACATTTTAGGTATACAGTACATTTACATTTATCATTGAGTGCTTGTACCTGTACATGATGTATCTTGGGTCTTATTTTTTTCCCATTACCTGTGTGCCCTTCACTCCCTCCACCCTTCCCTATTTACATAGACTTCATTTCCATTTTTTTTTCTTTTCTCATAATTTTCCTTTCCCTTCTTTCCTTTCCCTTTCCCCTCCCACCACCCCAACCCCTTTGGACCTTTTCCTATTTCAAGTTATCAATTATTCATTTTAATCATTTTAATCCTTATTTACACTTTCAATTTCTCGCACCACAGAAACTATTTGGTATTTATACACGTGTGTCCTATTTATTTCAGTTAAGAGGATGGCCTCAATATGCATCCATTTAGCTATAAATGTCTCTAGTTTCTCCTTCTTTATGGCTGAGTAGTACTCCATTTTATAAAAAACCCCACATCTTCTTTATCCAGTCTCCAGTTGATGGGCATTTGGACTGTTTCCAAGCTTTAGCTATTACAAACTGTGCTGCTATAAACATGGCTGCACATACATCATTGTGGTATGATTCTTTTAATTCTTTTGGGAAGATACCCAGCAGGGGAATAGCTGGGTCAAATGGAACCTCTAAGCCTAGTTCTTTGAGGTATCTCCATACTGACTTCCACAGTGGTTGCACCAGTCTACACTCCCACCAACAATGGAGAAGGGCGGGCTGGGGATTTAGCTCAGTGGTTCCACTGCCTGCTTTGCAAGCCCAAGGTCCTGAGTTCAATCCCCGGCACCAAAAAAAACAAAACAAACCAAAAACAATGGAGAAGGGTTCCTTTCTCCTCACACCCCCACCAGCATTTGTTATTGGTTGATTTCTTGATAGCAGCCATTCTTTGTGGGGTGAGGTGGAATCTCAGTGTTGTTTTCATCTGCATCTCTCGAATGACCAGTGATGTTGAACATTTTTTCATATATTTATTTGCTGCTTTTACTTCTTTGTCTGAGAAATGTCTGTTCATGTCAGATGTCCATTTTTGAATTGGGTCTTTGAATTTGGGGGGTCTGATTTTCCTGTCCAATATTCTTGATTTTTTAAAAATGGGAGCAAAATAGAAGATGAATAGTTACTTTTCTTTTTGTCCCCACCCACTCGCCCCACCCCCATACTGGGGATTGAACCCAGGGCCTTCCCACTGATCTATATTCTCAACCTTTTTTAAAATTAATTAATTAGGGCCAGAGATTTAGCTCTGTGGTTCCGCTGCCTACCCTGTAAGCACAAGGACCCCAGTTCAATCTCTGGTACCAAAAAAAAAATTAATTAATTAATTTTTTTTACCAGGGATGGCATGAGGAAAGAGCAATGAATTATGAATAATAGGCACATTTATTTGAGCCCCCACAAAGGAAGCTCCTTTGAAAGTGGGTTCTTGAAGGAAGAATAGACATTTAGGTGGATTGGGATGGAATTCAAAGAATAACCATTTTTATGAAGAACAGTGTATAATAAATGGAAATACATGGGGCGTAAAGGCCAACATGCTGTGCTGAAAAACTTAAAATGATCCTATTTGGTTGGTGTATGGAATGTAAAGGGGAATAAAAAACTAAGGCTAAGAGAGTTTATTGGGACCATGCCAAAAAGGGCCTTATCTACTATGGTAGAATTTGAGCTGCAAGAGGTATGGGAATTTTTAGTTTGCTTGTTTTGGAGTTGAACCCAGGGCCTTTGAATTGAGTTACATCCCTAGTCTTTTTTATTTTTTGAGGTAGAGTCTCACTGAATTGCCCAGACTGGGCTTGATCTTAGAATTCTTCTGCTTCAGCCTCCCAGAGTGCTAGGATTACAGGCTTGCACCACCATACCTGGCTACTGAAGGGTTTTAAGTGGGGGATGTGATGAAAACCAACCCAGAGTCCTTCCTTATGATGTACTATAAAAGTCAGTTTAGGCTAGGTTATATGGTAACAAATGATATCCAAGTTTCAGTAGTTTACAATAACAAAGGTAAATTTTTAACTCATGCTGCTGCATACATATTTATATTCACCAAATATAAATTTCTTTACTTTCTGGAATTACCCTGGAGCTGTTGGTGTCCATGTTCCCAGTAAGTTGAAGTAGCTTAAGGGTATAAACCTAGTACTATGCAGAGAAATAAGAGGCCAGAAAATATCTAGGCAACTTTTATTTCTTCATTCCTTGCAGCTGCCCTGACTCCTGAAACCTTGTTTTGTGTCTGTGTGCTAATAGGAGAGTGCCAT